TCATAATGTTCAACCGTGCAGTCAGGCTGACTGCTGGATGCAACTATATGACCGATGGTCCTCCGTAGATGATATTGGCTCCCTAGCTGTTGTCCACCATATGTTAGCTAATGATCCAGGGAAGAGTCTCTTAAGGTTCAGGCAATCTCTCCTGCTTTTACGGTATGCACACATTTTGTTTCACTATAATAATCATATTATTCGGTATATTCATCTTTATGTGCTGTCTGTTTCCTTTCAGCCGCTATGAAGGATTTTAAGCTCTACTGGTTTATAACTTTAGATTAAGTATATAATTCTAATATATCAATTTTTTTCCCGTGAGAGGGAATATGGAAATCGATGAATGATTGTAAAAGTTAGATGCTTCCCTCCTTGTTTCATATAAAGTTGACTGTAACTACAAATATTCTGGTCCACTGTGCACTTAGCGCACAACAAAAACTTACATACACAACTTGATTTCTCATGCTTTAGAAGCTGAATGTGAATATCTGGGAGGTGTATGGAGTTTTTTTCTTTTTGCGCTCCTTGGGACTGATGTGCACTTGTTTATAGATTAAATAGCCACAAGGCAGCAATGCGTAGTTTGAGAGAAGCAAGAAACCAAGCTACCTCCGAGCACGAAAGGCTAGTCTACGAAGGATGGATATTATATGACACAGGTTATCGTGAAGAAGCAATTGCTAAAGCTGAAGAGTCTATCTCTAACCAGAGATCGTTTGAAGCCTTTTTCCTGAAAGCATATGTGTTATCAGAAACAAGTCCTGACTCTGAATCTTCGTTGTATGTCATACAACTGCTTGAGGAAGCTCTTAGGTGCCCTTCAGATGGTCTTCGGAAAGGCCAGGTGAGTGTCCCTTTCAGTCAGATACTAATTCACGAATTCTAGGAACCAAAAACATTTACTTGAAAACTACATTGCACTGCAGGCTCTCAGTAATCTGGCAAGTGTCTATGTAGATGTTGATAATCTAGATAATGCGATTGATTGCTATACAAATGCACTGAATATTAAGCATACACGAGCCCATCAGGGTCTGGCACGTGTTTACCATCTAAAAGATCAGAGAAAATTAGCTTATGATGAGATGACAAAGTTGATTGAGAAAGCAAAATCTAATGCATCTGCTTATGAGAAGCGGTCTGAATACTGTGATCGTGAGATGGCAAAAAGTGATCTTAGTATGGCGACAAAATTAGATCCCCTACGAACATACCCATACAGATACAAGGCAGCTGGTAAGTTACCCTTGGCTTATTTTCGTACCAAGTAATCGTTGTGTTCTGTAGTTTTCTGACTGCTTTCTTACATGTAGCAGTGGAAATTCTTTTGGCCAGCTGATTGTAAGATTCTCTTTCTTTAAGCTATAGGTTGGTAGTGCATATGTGAAAATGAGGTTTCACCAAAGTCCACATGAGTCCTGTACTTCAACATGTTTATAATTACGGAAAGATCACTCAATGGTAATCTAAACATGTTTTCACGTCAACCCCAATATTACACAACTTTTGTTAAACAACCGCAGTTTCCAAGGACTTTTAAAATATAGAACATTGACCTTTAAATTGGTTATAGTAGCTGATTAAAAAAAAAATAAAAAAATTGGTTATAGTAGCAACAGCTTCTAGATGATTATAATGGGCATTATCTGATTGTTCTTTTGGATTCACATGATCTTTTCTTGTCCAATCAAGTCTCACTGCCTGTTCTTTTGGATTCACATGAGCTTTTCTTGTCCAACCAAGTCTCACTGCCCAGAGAGTGGATATAAGTGGTGACAGTCGAAAAAATATTCCAGTAAATTAGTGAATCTTGGCATTTCAACTTGTATTTCACAGTCCTAACTTGAGACCAATATGGAAGAAGACTTTTTCTTGGAAAGAATGTCTTCCAATTGTAGGACTCACAGTTGCATCCAAGCATTCATAGCTTGATTTTGTTTGCAAACTACTGTCATGTGAATGTGAAGTGTAAAACTGCATAGCAACAGTCAGGATTAAAGTGGCTCTGCAGTTAAGCTGATCTAGAATGGTACAATTATGCAAAGAAATTTAGCTAAACCTCTCTTCATTTGTTCCCCTTAATTTTAAATAAGGGTAAAAATTGTACTTGTGCTTGTGAAGTCCTAAACTTGTAATTCAACTGAGTAGTTATTTTCACAAGGACACACTACATCAAATTCATCTGTCAGTTTCTCATTGGTGGAGCTATTAGAGTTTACAGTCCCTAGACTCTTTTGCTCTGACTAGTGTCTTAAAACGGTCCCTTTTAATTTCCTTTGCTTCTTTTGGCATCACTATATGGGAATTTGATTTCTGGAACAAACCTATCTGTTTGATTGGTGAAATATTTTGGGTGATTGGTGAGTCATTTTGAATTGCCTCTTGACTCGTGCATGCTTGCGTTTAGATAGGTTAGATACTTCTTATATTAGGAGAATTATTGTTAAGGATCAGAAAGGGAGTGAAACCTCGATCTAATCTTACACGTGCAAGGACATTCTTAGCAAGTTAGACCTTTATGCATGTATATATTTTTAAGATTTTTGTATCGGCCTTAAGACTGCAACATCATCTGGTCAAGCTTCACAGAAGAATGGAAAATGCAATTTCGAAAAATAAGTTTGTCATGTTCCCTGGTTAACTTGTCTGAGGTTACGAAGTTTGGAATCAGTTCCTCTTTTTCCTTCTCAGCATTATTTCCCCCCTAGATTGTACAATGTCTCCTAACACCCAAACTCTAGGCCATTCAGCTGAGTGAACTGACCTAGAAGTGCTAGAGTAGTGTTAACTGAACGTGGATCAGTACATGACATGAAATATTTTGTTCTAGGAAAAGCGCAGCCCTATGCATTGTGCCTGGCTCCCCTACCCCCACTTTGTATTTCGCTTACTGCAGAAACCTCATATCTTAATGTGTATTAATGTACTATATTATGCTACAAGTTTTTGAATGAGAAAGTAATACTGGAAAATGCCTGTTCAGTTCTGATGGATGACCACAAGGAAGCCGAGGCTATAGCAGAGCTAACAAAAGTCATTTCTTTCAAGCCAGACTTACAACTGCTCCATCTTCGAGCAGCATTTCATGATTCAATGGGTGATCTCACTTCTGCAATTCGAGATTGCGAGGCAGCCCTGTGTCTTGACTCCAGCCATACAGACACACTTGACCTCTATCAGAAAGTACAGCAACGAGTTAAAGAACAACCACCAACGTGAAGGGAGCAAAAGACATGTATTGAGCTTCTTCTTGGTGATTGTTGTTTGGAAGTGGGTACCTAAGTTTTTTATGGTGCACACAGGGCCAATACATAATCATGTATGGAGCTCGCTCGAAAATTTTCATGACTTAGAGAAATTCAAACTAGATCTGCACATTGGCCATTATGCATGCTCAATAGCAGCAGCAAAGAGCAAGAAATTAGAAATCAAAATGTACATAACTTTTTTGGTCAACCATAGTGAAATATTTGTGAATTTCATAGAGCAGAGTTCTTCAGATACTTGTTTTTGTCCCATTGCAAACTTTGTTGAGACACTTCATTTATGTGCTGAGAGAGTGTTTTCTAACTTCTTCTACACTTTTTTAAAAGTATGCACAAGCTTCACTCACAAGCTTTATGTGAATGCTTTTTCTTTTGGATTCTCACATGAGAGGATCAAAATTCTAATTTTCATTGTATTATATGAAAAGGATTCAAGTGAAAAATGAGATGGTCTTGTTTCTGTTTTTCCTTTTATGTTTCCAAGATCACTTTCTATGCAGCCTATAAATTTGACTGAGTTAAACTTCTAATTACACAAGTCACCTAAAAGATAATAAATTATTAGTATGATTTATGAAGCAGATAAATGCTATAACAAGCCACCTAGCTACTTGTCATGATTAGATTTAGAAATAAAATAAAGGATAATTTTGGGAAGATGGTGCAAAAGATTTAAAAAAAAAGGAAAAACCACATAATTACACCACCATTACTATCATAAATATTAATTCACTCTATAGTTTGAAATAATTATATGTCTCACTAAATAATTTATTTTGTACTAGATCTTTAGTCAAATACACTACTCTTTAGAGTCAAATAAACTACTCTTTTAGAATTCAAGTTAGATACATGCAAGTGAAAGAGTCAACATGTATCTTTTGAAACCAGATACATTCTGAAAAACAAATACATAAGGACAGAGACAAGCGAGAGAGTCAACATGTATCAAAGATATATTCTAAAATATAGATACACAGGGAGAGAGGCAAGCAAGAGAGGAGAGGGGTGAGCGGTAGAATTAGTGTATCCTAGATACATGCAAATCACACGTGTATATCGTGTATTTGGAATGAATTATAACTGATTTGACTTGCATGTATCCGAGATAAATGAATCTGAAAAAAAAATATGATACAAATGATAATTCGAAAATTAAAGTGAAGAAGCCTAATTGGATCGATTCTAAATCAATGGCATTTGTATTGTTTTTTTTAATTTGGTCAAATAGTGCAAAAAGGGTTACAAATATTTACTAGGCGACTGTAAAACAAATTACTGCCTACTAAAAAAAAGAGTAATAGAAATTTTGCTCTACGATTAGGGTCGGATACAAAGTCATAAGTGAATCCAAGATTAAATTTGATGCGTTCCGCCTCTAAAATCCAACCAATTTAAACCTTTGAAATTATTGGTTCAAAATTTAACATTTGTTAATATTCTACTATTTTTTTACATAAAAATATATTTTTTGTACTAAAAATCTTCCTTTAATGCAAAAAAAAAAAGTGTAATCATTCATACTTCAAGATATTCTGGCACTAGCACAAAAGTACATTTAGAAGCCATGTGGCATAAAAATGTTTCTTCTCTTGAGTAACCTGTGACATGACCAAATAAATGTTACACTTTTTTAGCTCAAACTCCACGAGAAGCCCATAGTTACAACTATTCATAATTATGACTAAACTTTTTAAACCTTATTCACACAAATAACCACACAAAGTGTTCAACTTTTCTTATTTTCTCCATTTGTTATACATCCAATATCTCTAAATCCATGGAAAAACAACTAGAAGTAGAAGAAGAGAGAAGAGAAAAATATACAAGAAAATTAGATTTTAGTGCTCCTCTTTTGTCAACTAGACGTTCTAGTGAAAAATCATTTTCTTGTCCAAATCAACTTTCAATTGATATTTTTAATAGAGTGCCATTTTCTTGGGAACAAAGCCCTGGAAAACCAAAGGAAATGAGGTTAGCAACAAACATTGAAATTGTACCACCTCCAAAATTGCCACCATGTATGTGGCATACAACAAAAGATCAATTATTAGGTACAAGTTGTACTACTACAACTACTAAATCATACGATGAGGTCTATGATGGCGATATCGACAATGATGATCATGATGATATAAGGAATATTGAGAACCATGATGCATTCTCAGATGCTCTTGATGTTTTTTCGTTAGGGGATGAGTCGATAGACGACATGATTAATGATGAGACGGAATATAGAATATCGAATAAGGAGGTTGTTCATGAGGAATGTTATGATTGGTGCACCAATAAGCCAGCAGTACCAAATTTCATCATTCAAAGATTTCTTAAAGATGCAAAGGAACTAGCTATTTCATCTGCCTTGGAAAATAATAGGAAGAAATTACTAGAGGATGAGCAAATTAATGGAAGAAGACCATGTAATTTTTCTCCTAAGGCAACAGTATCATGTGGATTTGACATGTTTATTCCATGGAGGATAAAACCCAAGCCATGTTGTGTGAAGAATAGTGTAGTGGCAGCTTCTCCAAGAATGAGACCTCAATGGAGCAACAAAGACAAGCATGCATTAGATGCAGATCCAAAATTTTAATAACATGTGTATATGTGTACCTTCCGCTGATCGAGGATGTGATCTTAGATAGAAGGCTATAAGGCTATGAAGGACTCGGATTAGGGTAAGGCTAGTAGATAGTTGAGAGTTGTCTCACTTATCCTTCCATACTAGTAGTCGTAGTAATTTCTTGGTCTTTGATGAATTATGTTGCTATATTTGTTGTTTCTTGTAGTTCGATTATATATATTATTATTTTGTTGTAGTTATTGTTCTTTTCTCATAATGTTTTGTCATACTATCTTTTTTTTTTGTCGTGACTTCTTCACTCCGTTATTCTTTTTCCGAACAGAGACAAGCATGCATGCGCATCAGATGCGGATCCAAAATTTTAATAACATGTGTATATGCACGTACCTTCAGCTAATCGAGGATGTGATATTAGATAGAGGGCTATGAAGGACCCGAATTAGGGTTAGGCTAGAAGATAGTTGAGAGTTGTCTCACTTATCCTTCCATACTAGCAGTCGTAGTAGTTTCTTGGTCTTTGATGAATTATGTTGCTATATTTGTTGTTTCTTGTAGCTCGATTATATATATTATTATTTTGTTGTAGTTATTATTCTTTTCTCATAATGTTTTGTCATGCTATCTTTTTTTTTTGCCATAGCTTCTTCACTCCGTAATTCTTTTTCCGAACAGAGACGAGCATGCATCAGATGCATATCCAAAATTTTAATAACATGTGTATATGCACGTACCTTCAACTGATCGAGGGTGTGATCTTAGATAGAAGGTTATGGAGGACACGAATTAGGATAGAAAGCTAGTAGATGGTTGAGAATTGTCTTACTAATCCTTCCATACTAGGAGTCATAGTAGTTTCTTGATCTTCGATTCCTATTACTATAAGTTGTTTCTTGTAGTTCGATTATATTATTATTATTTTGTTGGATTTGTTGTTCTTTTTGCAGAGTACTTTATTATGTTATCTTTAGTATTTTGTCAGGGGTTCTATATTTCCGTATTTCCTTTTCTCGAACTGTTTTCTATGATTTTTCTTGAGGTGAATAATCCCCCCTCTCTCGTCTCACTCCCCCTCTCTCTATCTCATCTTCATATATAGTTTCTCTTCTTCTTTAATTATTGTTCACTTTTTTTTTATAACCTGGTAGCTAAAGATTGTATTTATAGAATGTGTATAGAAAATGTATAATTACCTTATGTAATATGTATTTGTATAGGAATTCTATAGAAATAATTTAATATTATTATATAAAATATGTATATGCATAGATTGAGTCTAGAAACGCCTACGGTAGCATTGTTGTATAAAAATGGGGTGAAACTTTGCTTTTAAAATCAACCCCCTCCCGAACAATAATCAAATTCCCCCTCTTTATCTTAATTATATCTTTAAAATGTTTATTATATTTTTTCATTATCAACTTTATTTTTTACTTCTTTAAAAATCATGATATTTTTTTAATTCTTTTAAAAAAAAATAAAAATTACCCAGTATAGCTGGGTCGTGTTGTATTTATGAGATACAAAACAAGGAGGGGGGCTGAAGCCTTACCTCCATTACAACACCACGGTGAGCTAGTCACCTCAGGAGCCAGAAGATCATAATCTCAAAGGAGGATATAATCTTCTGGCAGATTCAAATATATACAAATCAACTAACAAAAAAATTAGCCTTATCAAATTGTTAATTCATTTATACTTTTACGTGGAGTCTTTTTCATCGAAAATTGATAAATTTTTTGGTTAGTTGGATTGTGAATCATTTATGTGAAGAAGATTAAAGGTTAAGAAAAATAAAGAAGATTATGGAAGAGAAACCCTTTTGACTACCCAAAATATTTTCAAGATTTCTTGAAACTATAACTCCACATTGATAAGTACACCCCTTTCTTGGTAAAAAAACAGTTTTATCAAAAAAGGAATAAACTAATTATGATCCCCAAAAGGTCTATTAAGCCTAAAAAAGGGGGAAAAATAAAAGTAATGAATCGTGTGTATTTGAAACTGTTTAGGAGAGAGAATATTTGGTAAATATTAATATCCTAATTATACTCCATATAAAAGGCATGAAATACTAATAGTATGAGAGAGAAAAATCTGTAAAACAAAATTAAAATAAATACAAAAATTAAATGTTTTGTTATGTATGTATTTTAAAAACTTAGTTTGTAATTAAATATAAGTATATTGATATTTTGTTAATAAAAGTCTTAAGTAATATATTTTTGTAATTTTCCCTATTTTTCTAAAGCCAAATTCGACCCAATATTCAGATCAATATACTCGACCCTGAAAGTCCACACAGTCATAGCCCATTACATTTCATCTGTTCCATTCATTTTGTATATAGCATAATGTTCATTTGTTCCTTTTCTTAGATGCTTCTAGAATTTGTATAGGTGTACAAAGTAGTTAGATAAGAGATAAGTTTGTTAGCTCTTCACATTAATTTACAGTTCTGCCATTTTGTATTAGATTAAATAGCTGATTCTAATTCAATGAAAATCACTCAGAAAATTTCCCACATTTGCTTTCACTGTTCTTCTATTCTTCTACATGGTATCAGAGCACCATTGAAGATCCTTCAGTCTCCATATCTTCAATGACTAATTCTTCTACCACTGAGTTGATTTCTCCTTCTGTTGTATCCAAAATTATGGATCAAAACAGTCCCTATTTCCTTCATCCTTTTGATTCACCAGGGATGTCCTTGGTAAACTCCACCTTTGAAGGAAAGGGTTATGGAGGATGGAGAAGATCCATGCTCATCGCTCTTTTAGCTAAAAACAAGTTGAGCTTCACTAATGGAAGTTGCAAGTCCCCTACTGCCAGCAGTCCAGATCTGCAGTCATGGAACAGGTGCAACGACATGGTCACCAACTGGCTGTTGAATTCACTCTCTAGGGATATTGCTGATAATGTCCTCTACTTCAAAACAGCTGAAGAACTGTCACGACTCGAAATATAGCCAATCGATCCTAACATAAGGTATCTAATCAAAGTAAAGTAGGAAACTGATGCCCACCCCCAATTCATTCCAATCGACATGCTTTTACATAATTAAGCTCAATCTAAAAGAAAGGAAGTCATAGCCTACCTTAAGGCCGATCGCGCGCGTTCCAAATCACTTGCCGGAGCTTTTCCTTTCCGAACTACCCTTGAACACTGCCACTCTATCGAATATAGAATCACAACGTTAGTACGGTCGTTTAGACACCAAAATCACAACAAACGGAGACGGGTCAAATTTGGAGTCAAAATGAGAATCGTGGGACCCGCACCAAACTGTTCGGATTTAACTCCGTCAAGAGACCCAAAACAGTACCCAAAACTTCTGTTCCAAAATGGAACACAATTAAGGGCTCAAAACGCAGCAAAACCCAACATGCAAGGAAAAATCACATTTTTATCAACTTAAAAGAAAATATGCAGCAGTCTAAACTCGAAAGTTACGAGAATCGAAAAGTGCCCAACACTCCTTCATACTCTACGACAAAACCATGACAATTCCCAACACGTGGGACTTCGAATAACCCAAAACCGAGCTAAAATGAGTGAGATATGACCAAAACAAGGATGCCAAAAACAAAAGCTCGAAAAAAGGCCTAACAGTCAGGTTTATAACCAAATTTACCTCGAACGACGTGCATTCGACAACTTCCAACACTCTACAGCGAAACCACCGAAAATACGAAGCTCCTACACTTCGAATCGCCTAATTCGGTTGAGAGATGAGAGAGTTATGAGTGTTTTAAGTTTGGAAAGGGTTGCTTATATTTCTACATTTATAGCAGATTTTTCTGCAATTTCTTTCCAAAACTTAAAAACTCCGACGGGGTGCTCCGAACTCGTTCATAACCCCGTACACATAAAGGAGATATACAACCATACCAAATTTGATATTCCGAACTTAATGGCGCAGTTGAAATTTCCATAAGAACTCATCTTGACAAAAAGTGGTCCCACACTCAAATGCCATTTTAAGTCAAAAACCACAAAAGGGCTCGAAATTTTTTTGGAAACCTCGGGACACAAAAGAAGGGTCAATCTAGACCAAAATAGACATTCCGGAGCTAACCGCGCTGACGGAATTCTCATCCGAGCATGTTTACTCAGAATGTTGACTAAAGTCAAAGTTAGGCTTAAACTTAAAGTTAAAACGCCTAATCGCACCGACTCACACTGAAAACCTTGGGAGTCATGTCGATCATGTAACTAGCCTAAAATGACCCTTCCGAAGCTGATGGAATCTTCAGAATTGGATTCTGATGTCATCTTCTTGAACTTTTGATAAAAAATGATCGTTCAAGGTTCATAAGCTCTAAAAACACTAAAACTCTCACAAAAGTCAAACGAACGACCAGGTTACAAAACTGTCAGTCCTAACAAGTTATAAATGACTTAGGGTCGCTACAAAAATGCCCTAAACGACACATTACAGAAATGACCAGGAGGGTCATTACAAGAACTCTGGAATGATCTTGAGATCAGGTTTAGGCAATCAAATGGAGCCCAGCTCTTTCACCTGCAAAAAGAGATAAGTGATTTCTTCCAAGGATCACTCAACATTGCAGCTTACTATACCAACATCAAGGGGTTATGGGATGAACTTGATACCTTGAACACTAAGGCCATTTGTTCTTGCACTTGTGATTGTGGTGGAAAGGAGAAAATGGTGAAGGCACAACAAGATGAGAGGCTCATTCAATTCCTTATGGGGTTGAGTGAGGCCTATGTTGCTATAAGAAGAAACATCTTGATGATCTCTCCCTTGCCATCTGTCAGCCTTGCTTACTCTCTCTTCATTCAAGATGAGAAACAAATAGAGAAATATGTTTCTTCTTAGCTGCAGTAAATCATTCTTCTTATTTGGTGGCTGATGGAAATGGACCACCGCAGTATCCTCGACATGGGAACATGTTGCAAACATTTGAATACAAGTCTAAGAAGGGTAATTCATCATTGATTTGTTCCCATTGTAAGAAAGTAAGGCACTCTGTTGACAAGTGCTATAGAATCATTGGTTTTCCCAATGATTTTAAGTTCACTAAGACCAAAAGGGATCCAAATACGATTGGGAGCAATGTTGTGGTACCTTATGAATTACCTTGTTTTCCCAGTTCTCTCCCCAATTTTGCAGGCAATACTAGAAGTCAGTTGACTCAGGAACATGTTTCTCTGTTGATTCATCTATTGAATCAGGCCAAGGTCACTCAACCAGATGTTGACCTTGCCAACCAAAGTGCAATAGTTGCTATGTTGGTAACCCTTCCACCTCATGCTTACTCTCCTTTAATTCTAAACCATGGATTGTAGATTCGGGTGCATCCCAACACATGTGTTCTGATTCAAACATGTTTCACGCTCTTGAAGCTCTATCTCAACCCATTAATGTTACTTTACCTAATTCCTCTAGTGTGAGAGTCACCCATTCATGAATTGTTGTTTTTTTCCTGATTTTTTTATTCATAATGTTCTATATATTCCTTCATTCAATTTAAATCTTTTATCTGTGCATAAGATGTGCATTCAATTAAGTTGTTTCATCTACTAAAATGTGTTTTGCAGGCCCCTTCACTGAAGAAGCCTCTAGTTCTTGGTGAAGCTAAGAATGGTCTCTATCAATTATTTTCTTCAAGCATCAAGTCTCAAAGTCATTCTAACAAAGCTGCAGTTTCCCTTTCTAGTCATAGTTTTCCTTCTTGTAATTCCCTATCTAGTAAAGATAGTTCAGTTTTCCATTTATGGCATGTAAGGTTGGGGCATCTCCCTGTTTCATCAATGAGCAAACTGTTTACTTTTCTAAATCTGATTCTAATTATACTTGTGACGTTTGTCCTCTTGCGAGGCAAACCAAATTACCTTTTCCTATAGTACTATCAAAACCAAGACTATATTTGAATTAATTCACATTAACACATGGGGTCCCTATAGGAATTCAACTTACAATGGATTTAAATACTTTCTCACCATAGTAGATGATTTTAGCAGAGCTACTTGGACCTACCTTTTGAGTACCAAAGTTAATGCTTTCCCAATGCTAAAACAATATATTTTTATGGTCCAAAGGCAGTTTAATAGCAAAGTGAAATCCATCCGGTATGATAATGCCTTAGAATTGGGAAAGGGAACCATTGCATCTGAATTTCTTCTTTCTCAGGGGATTTTACATCAAACATGTTGCTTCTCCACTCCACAACAAAATGGAATTGTGGAAAGAAAGCATATTCATCTCTTAAAATCATCTAAAGCTTTGTTGTTCCAATCCAATGTTCCTATTTCCTATTGGGGAGAATGTCTCCTAACCGCTACTTTCTTAATTAACATGTTTCCCTCTAGAGTCCTCAATGGTAATACTCCTTATGAAATCTTGTTTGGTTCCCCTCCTAAGTACCATTTTCTTAAGACCTTTGGTTGTCTTTGTTATGTATCTACTTTAACCCAAAATAGATCCAAGTTTTCACCTAGAGTAGTTCCTTGTGTTTTCTTGGGGTATCCTCCTGGACAAAAGGGACACAAACTTTTATCTTTGGATTCCAAAAGGTTGTTTGTGTCAAGGGACGTCCATTTTCATGAATCTATTTTTCCTTTCAAATCCACTTCCTCTTGCAGTCCTATATTTTCCTCTTCTCTTCCTTTTCCAATATATGAATCTCCTGTGGTGATCCTATTCCACTTCAGGATCCTGTAATTAGCATCCCTTCAACCCAACTCGATTTTGTTGATTCTCCTAGTTTCTCTATCCATGAACTTGGTTCATCAACCAATTCCATTCAACCCGCTCCTCCTCATGTACCCATACATTCACCTAGAAAATCCTCTAGAACTCATAAGCAACCTACTTACTTGAATGATTATTATTGCAATAATGTTTTCCTCACTGATGTTACTTCTTCTTGTTTCTCTCCTCCCATCCATCCACCCATTTTCCCCTTTGCAACTTTGTCTTCTGCTAACCAACAAATGGTCACTTCTTCTTCTCCCATGGTTGAACCTAATAGCTATGCACTAAAGTTGGCAGGTGGCTAAGGATGATGAGATCAAGGCTTTGATTGCCAACAAGACTTGGGATGTTGTAGAGTTACCTAAAGGTAAAAGGGCTCTACCTTGTAAATGGGTTTATAAGGTGAAACACAGGTCTGATGGATGCATTAAAAGAGTTAAGGCTCGACTCGTGGTCCGTGGTGATATTCAAAGAGTTAGGATTGATTTTACCGAGACTTATTCACTTGTTGTGAAGATGACAACAATCGTCTTTTAGCAATTGCTACTAAGAAGGACTGGCCTCTTTATCAATTAGACGTGAACAATGCGTATCTCCATGGAGACCTAAATGAAGAGGTCTACATGAAATTTCCTGCAGACTTGGATGCACCTGGTCCATCCCATGTGTGTCGACTTAAAAAATCCCTCTATGGTTTGCGCCAAGCTTCTCGACAATGGTTTGCAAAATTATCAGCTACTTTATAGTTTAAAGGCTTTATTCCTTCCCTCAATGATTACTCCCTATTTTACAAGCATTCAGATGGTCTTCTCATTGTCATTGCCATTTATGTCAATGACATTATTATCACAGGTGATGATGTTGTCACGATCACTCAGTTGAAATTATTCCTTGATGATCAGTTTAAGGTCAAAGATTTGGGCTCTTTGCACTACTTTTTAGGACTTGAAATCTTCAGGAAAGCTCAAGGTTTGATTATCACCCAACGGAAATTCACTCTCGAACTACTCTCTGAGTTCGACTGTGATCATTTATCTCATGTCTTTTCTCCATTGGATCCTTTTATTAAGCTTTCCTCTCATTCTGGTGAACACATTGTTGATCCTACTTCCTATCATCATCTAATTGGTAAGCTCAACTATCTTACTCATACTCGGCCTGAGCTCTCATATGTTGTCCAACTGTCACAGTTCATGCAATAGCCTCATCTTTCCCACTTTGATCTTGCTCTACGTGTGGTTCGTTACCTTTACCTGAATCCTGGTCAAGGTTTATTCTTTACTACAGAACCTTTTGTCTCTCTTCTTGCTTTTTGTGACGCGAATTGGGGATCTTGTGTTGACTCGCGACACTGTGAAGCTTCTAACTCTAATTACCAACTCGGGACGTGGCTTTTATATTATTTTTGGTGGTTCACCCATCTCTTAGAAATCCAAGAAACATACCTCCAACTCTCCCTATTCATGTTCATTCCGATAGCCAGGCTGCCATACACATAGCCAAGAACCCGGTGTTTCATGAACGAACAAAACATGTTGAACTTGACTGTCATTTTGTTAGACAACAATTTCTTGCTGGTTTGATCTCACTTTCATATGTTCCTGCTCCATCTCAGCTTGTAGATCTTCTCACCAAACCTCTGTCTGGTCCCTCGCATCATAAACTTCTGGGCAAGTTGGGTCTCATTTTTCTCCCCTCCAACTTGAGGGGGGTTGTTGACAATGGTGATTCTCATCTGAAGCATAATGAAGCAGGAAATGAACTTCCTTGTTATGATGAACAAAAGGACCAGGTCGCAGGAGTTGTTCCTAAAGCCAAATTTGACCCAATGATCAAGACCCAATTTTCAGACCAACATACTCGACCCAGAAAGCCCACACAGTCATAGTCCATTACATTTCATCTGTTACATTCATTTTGTATATAGCATAATGTTCATTTGTTCCTTTTCTTAGATGCTTCTAGAATTTGTATAGGTGTACAAAGTAGTTAGATAAGAGATAAGTTTGTTAGCTCTTCACATTAATTTACAGTTCTGCCATTTTGTATTAGATTAAATAGCTAATTCTAATTCAATGAAAAGCACTCGGAAAATTTCCCACATTTGCTTTCACCTTTCTTCTAATCTTTTATAATTAATGGTAAGAAAAATAGCTTCTCTAATTTTACAGTTTCTCCAATAGATCAATAGAGAATAGCTAGAGTTAGTTCGCTTGTTATGGGGCTCGAACATGTGACCTAAGACACAAGTTCCTCAACCTTTGTGAATTGACCTACATGCACAGTAAAATACCTTGATATGTGATATATTTTTCCTTGCTTCCTCACTTAAATGGGTCACAAAGGACGCAACTCAACAAATTAAACCATAATAAAAGTCAATGCATATCCATCAAACTGTTGTCGTTGTTTCTTACAAGGATTAGCTATATTCCTTGTTATAGCTCGATAACATTGATTGTGCCAATATTTCGAAGTATCATGAAAAATAGTTGATTCCATAACAAGTAGGAATTACACTTGATTTGCTTTTAAAATGGTTTTCATCTCTCACTTGGTGATACATAACCAATGTACCTAGTTAGATTAACTTTAATATTATGAATGATAGAACAAATGTACTCTAAACATGATTAAAATATCCACTATTGTAGAAACTATTTTTAATTGATATAACAACGATGAGAAAATTTGTACTCTAATTTACTTTAGAATAGATATGACCTTTTTACACAAATATCATCCTCAATACTTTTATCTACTACATTTGTACTTTTGACCCCATCCTAGACTCGTGATGAAAGCAACTAAATTTGCTTTATGAGATGCTCATCCTTGTCGAGAATCATTGGTTATGTCAACGTTATTGACAATGTGAAAGACATTTCAGCCTTTGATATTTGACCAAATAAGTAAAATAAAGAGAAGAAAGTCTTACATAAACAATGTTGAGTGCAATTTAGCTTGAAGATGAAGACACCAAGCACTTGAACCAAAATAATTGTTCAGTTTCATGAAGTAAAAAGGACTAAAAAGATCTACAAACACTGCAGCTCAGCCTCTCACCGCCCACACCACACCTCAGCCTATTTAGGTCCAAAATCCCTAAATAGGCTATTTTGGAGTAAAATTTTCTTTTCTATTTAGGTCCAAATCCCGGATCCCTAAATCAATTCCAACTTGTCACAATTGCACCTCAGCCTCTCACCGCCCACACCACACCACACCACACCTCGCCACCTCCACCGCTCCGACCAGCAAACGCCGTCGAGCAACCTATCCCACCGCCGCTCCACCGGCGAACCACTCCCTCCTCTCTCCCCTTTCCCCTGATCACCTTCACTGTCCAGACAGCACCACCAGCTAATTAGAAACACGTTGTCCTCTTTGATGTGTTCCGAAAATCTCCGGTGAAGACGAACAGGTTTTTGAAGACAGAGGCACTGTGGAGGTTTGTTTCATACAAATTCATTCGGTATTGTGTTTCCAACATCTCCTCCATCCACTCTTTGTTAGAATTTCTGAAATATTCCTCTTAGTCGAAAATAATTCTAGCATTAGCTACTGATTTAGGTTTGATTATGATTTCTAATTGTAGTGAATTTGATTTTAGTTGATCCTTAATTATTTATTATTCTTCGTTGTAGCTTGTTCCGTATTATGCATGATAGATTGATTGATTTTGTACTTACATTCTCTGTATCGTATTAATTACGAATCCAGTTCCTAATTGGCAAGGACTGATCACTGGAAAAATCCCCTCAAGCTCTCTTTCTCTCCAAAATGTGAGGAGAAATCTCTCGAGCTCTCCTCCTCGTCTCTACAACAAGTCTTAACACTCAACGTTCCTTACCTTAGGCTCATTTTTGCTTTCCTCTCAATTTTACATATTACTCTAAGGCTCTCATATTGTGATGTTGTTGCAGCGGCTGGTTTTTGTCTCTCTTATAATTAATTGCCATATCACTGGTTAGTTCTCTTAACAATGCATTCGATACTTGCGTGGTAGTTTTGTATATCTTTAATTTAGCATTAGTTGGAAAGCTCGAATTCATTAGGTATTCTGTGAAATCAAACAGGTACACTTTCTCTTCGACTTATACAGGCTCCAATTATATAAATATTGAGGTTATGACTGGTTGTGAATCTGTTGTGTTTTAATTCTGTATTTATTCGTCCTATTTTCATAACTCTTGCTTTTTGGCTATGGATAATTAGGTTGTGTTATCATGGATTTAGCATGTTGCACTTTGGCTTTGGCTTAGATTTTCACTTTCTCTTCGACTTATAAGTACATGCTCTAATTATATAACTTTGGCTTTGGCTTAGCTTAGATTTTCACTTTTTTTTTTCCATTCATTCATTCATGGCTTGTAATAACTTGAATAAATGTTGTAACAAAAGAAGTTTGAGGTGGCTATCATGCTACTTTTTTTTTCATGTCTCATTTTCTCATTTCACTTTTACTTATTTTTATTCAAGTATTTAAATTCAAATTCAATTGTTAACTAAAGTAGTTTTTATTTTTCTTTATCTCATTGCTCAACTTCGCTTTTCATAATTTGAATTGGATATGACACTTTTATTTCTCACTATATATAAGCACTATCTCCTAACCTATAGTTAGTGGGAAAGTAATAGGAATTACGAGATTTAATCCTCATTTTTTTAACTAAGCCGACACATCCCTGAGAGTACTACTTACCAAAGGATTATGTATATTTATATGTAATATTTATGTGTTTGTATTTAATCAAATATTTCAATTATCCTTCAAATACTATTATTAATTTCTAAGAATGATCTCAAATAAAAAATATTTCTATGGTGGAGGAGAACAATTAATAATATCGTGGTATCATCCTTATAAAGAAACAAACATTTGAAGCGTCCTTAAATTCTCTTACAAATTGGTTTAAATTTGAAGTACTTTTAATGCTTACAAATCAACTTTTATATTTATGTTTTATCTCTTTTTTTGGGTTAGATTAGTTTACGTTCGACCTTTATTATTTTTTTCCGTATCTTTTGGTGTTGGTTCTCTTTCCCCGCTTATTTATTTTCTTAATTAATTATTGTCTTATTATTTAATATTTATTTATTTTAAGAAAGTTAGTTTTACATGTCTATATTATTTAATAATAAATAAGTTTAACTTGTCTTGTTATCTTATCACTTAAAACTTGTGTTAATTAATAATCACTTCGCCTATCGCTGTTAATTTGCTTTAAATAAAGTTTTGTCTTTTTTTTTTTTTTATTTCAATGGAAACCCGCAACCGCTACTTTTGGGTGTGCACAAGTTAAAACCCTCGCTCATATGCAATAGTTCACAAACAACATAGGAGAGGTAACCCGCACTAGGCAAACCCGATGCGATGAGCTCGACCCAGAAGGAAATCCTCATGCATTTGCTAGCAAGGGGTTTCGAACTTGAGACCTTCAACGTGGAAGTCCCAAGCTCAAATCACTTGACCACCTCGAAGGATTTAAATAAAGTTTTGCCTATTTTATCACATAGTTTACTTTAGATGATTTATGCCTTTAGATTGACTCAATTTTTTATTTTATCGCTTAGATAATAAAATGTTAGCTTGTTTACTCATCTCATCACATAGACAGTATATCAAGTAATTTAAGTTAACCTTTACCTATTTTGCTCTTTCTTATTGAATCAAGTTTTATAATATATATCATTTAGTCACTCCTTTAATTTAATAAAAATAGTGACCTTGTTTGCCACATACTTTTCCACATAATTCACAAGATCTGGCTGGGATCCGCATTTGTGGACTTCGAAAGGTGCCTAACACATTCCTTTTGAGGTAACTTGAACCCTTCCCGATCTTTGGGTGTGTTTGACCTTTAAATTAATTTTATTTGGTAGATTAATTTAGAATGATGCTCTAAAGCGCCTTTAATTGGTTAGGTGGTGATTCTCTCTTTTTAATCCTAAAAAGACTTGTCACGTTGTTGGATCTCATTTTGAGAAAAATGGGATGCGACAAAAATCATAAGGATACTCAATGATAAATATCTTCGTCCAAAACTCTTCAACCCCGTACTCCATAACCCACATACTTGTGTGACTCCTCAGATGATTACAAAACATAGAGAGATCATTTACCAACACACCGAGGCCTGACATGATAACAAAATTTCCTTCTCAACGTCAAGGTTTCTCCATTTCTCCCCATCTCCCATCAGCCAAGTCAACGAAAATGATGTCCTACTTTTATTACAAAAAATGAATATGCATGGTAGAAATATCTGAATGAAGCTTTCCATTCATAAACAAACCTGACTTCATAAATGGTATCCAATTCTGATAATCATCCAAACGACTCCAAGAATTGTTATTTAGACTATATATAATCCCACATCAAAACATGAATTGTTATAAAGCCTATATCAGATAATACCTACTACCTTATAATCATCATGAAACTCGTCTTTTAAAAAATCATACATGAAAAAGCAACCAATTATGGCACTCGACTAAGCTTCCCAATTGATGGATTTCATAAAAGCAATTATTTTCTCTCAATAATAAGACAAATCAATCCATTAACAAAACTTGTAACCTCAATTGAGTGATTTTGGGATTTGTTCGTAGGACAATCCGAGTCAATTGTTCATTTATAGAGTGCTAGAGTAATCATGTCATGTACCACATGATCATAAAGTAAAGAACTAACCGAACAATCCTTAAGATATTAGGTGGATTAAATAATAAGCCTATGACAGGTGTAACCCTTGTTATTAGCAGATATACTGATATGGGACTTGACAAATTGAAAGGCAAGAGATTAAATGAAGCCGGGATTTTTAAAATCCCTTAATTTTCATGAGGGATTTTACTGATAGTTTTAAGAGGATTTTGTAGATGAGATTTGCTAGCAGAAAAGGTAATTCGAAGCTTGAATCTTGAACTGAAGTAGAAGAAAATGGAGCACTACTAGTGGGTTTGCTCTGCTTTGGTTGTCGATGAGAGGCTTCATCTCACAAATTCTATTTGTGTTGCAGAAATTTGAGCTCTTCGAGAAGTCAACAAGGGTTTTGATGTTCTTCTGTGTAATTAGGAAATATTTTCAGAGATAATTACACAGAAGAACATCAAAAACCTTGTCTTTTTGAAGAACTCAAATTTTTGTAGCACAAATGAAATCTGAGAGAGATGAAGCCTTCTATCGCCAACCAAAGCAAAGCAAACACACTAGTAGTGCTCCATTTTCGTCTACTTCAATTCAAGATTCAAGCTTCGAATTACCTTTTCTGCCAGCAAATCTCATCAACAAAATTCTCTTAAAACTATCGGGAAGATCCCTCGTGAAATTCAAGCGTGTTTCAAAATCATGGCTTGATTTAATCTTTAGCCCTAAATTTGTCAAGTCTCACCTCAATATAACTGCTAATAGCAAGGGATACACCTGCCATAGGCTTATGTTAGGGTTTAATTCACCTAAATATCTTAAGGGTTGTTTCGTTAGTTCTTCACTTTATGACAATGTGATGTGCGAAGAGATCACTCTAGCACCCTATAAATGGATAATTGACTCGGATTATCCTACGAACAACTTCAAAAATTACTTTATTGAGGTTGTAGGTTCTACCAATGAATTGATTTGTCTTACTATTGAGAACAAAGACTTGTTTTTACGGAATCTGTCAATTGGGAAGATAAAAAAATACCTAGTGCTATAACTGGGTTTCTTTTTCAAGTATGATTTTGGATATAATGAGCTTCATAATGATTATAAGGTAGTGAGTTTTATCTGATATGAGCTTTATAACAATTCACATTATGATGTGGGAATTATATAATCTAAATATCAATTCTTAGAGCCGTTTGGATGATTTTCAGTTTGGGATAGTATTCATGAAGTGGCATATATTTGTGAATGGGAATCTTAATTGGGTTATTTCTACCACACATTCATTTTTTGTAATAAAAACTGAGACATCATTTTTGTTGAATTGGTTGATGGGAGAAACGGCAAAACGTTGTTGTAGATAAGGCAATTTTGTTTTCATGTCGTGCCTCAATGTGTTGGGAAATGATCTCTCTATGTGTTGTAATTATCCAAGGAGTTACGCAGTATGTGGGTTATGAAGGAGTACTACGTCAAAGAATCTTGGACAAAGATGTTTATCATTAAGTATTGTTTTGATTTCGTGGGGTATGATGTTTTGTCTCCGTCCTTTTGCATGTCAATTGAAAGTGAATTTATTGTTAAGATTGGATCAATTCTCATGATTTACAATTCAAATAATGAGATTTCCAAAGGTTCCCACTGTGATCACCTTGGTGAAACAAAAAACTACCTCGTTTGAGTATTTTGATGATTTCATTGAATATAAAATATTGTTTCCAAGCTAATAGCATATTTGATTTGTGACCAGAAGTTCTATGAGTTTCAGATATATTTTTAGCCTTTTCAATGCTTTGCCTTGTTTAAGCATAAAAATATGTCGATTAAAAGGTCCGCTTTTAGTTTTTGAGATCGAAAAATTATTCTGGGACTTTTGAAATTTTTAGCATGAATAATAGGATTGATTTGGAAAGTTTGGTGCAATTTTGATAAGCTGAGATCAGATTTTTATGACGACAAATGAAATAATTTTTTAACGAACAACAATGACTGGCTAAACGAGCACATAATTGAGTTTTGATTGGATGAAGCGATCCCTTTAATTATTTAAACTCATGAAAAATGAATCAATGCATTCCGAGGTTCTATGAGTGAATTATAGTCGTTTTAGTGAAAAATGATATTACTAGTGCAATCTAACAATACATTAAATTTCAGATTGTACTTATTTGGTATTTTGAATAATTATGGAGTTCTAGAGCTTAAAATTAAGTTATTTTCACATCATTTTCCTCTGTTTAACAAGGGGGTAAGTATCTAATCCTTATTTAGGTATCCTTCATTATTCCTTCGGTTGGTTTTCATTTTTATCCATGAGTTGGAGAAAAATTGAGGGGGGGGGGGGGGGGTTTTC